CTGCTAAAATTTTTCTGCGGCTGCGCCGCGCCAAGATCCATGAATATTATTAAAAGACACTACTACTGAGATTCACTACGCACCAGGTACTTTCGACTGCTGATGACAAGGCTCTAGAACCCCAAAAAATTTTCCGCGGCTTCGCCGCCCAAGAGGCTGCAATAGTCTTTGGAATCACATACTGCTAAAATTTTTCGGCGGCTGCGCAGCGCCAAGATCCATGAATATTATTAAAAGACACTACTACTGAGATTCACTACGCACCAGGTACCTTCGACTGCTGCTGGGCGGCCACGGCCTCTCTGCCGGAGCCTTGTTCAGCTCTCTCTTCACGCTCCATTCTGACAGTGGAGATGTGTGTGTTGTCCTCATTCCAGTGCCACATTGCAGATGTGCATTTATCATAGGACTTCCTGTTGCAGATGCGGGGGGTTAAGTCACGAGTGACTCAGAGCCCTCACAGGCTCGAGTTCCTCCAGTGATCTGGGTTGCATAGGCCTTGGGCAATGGCCACTCCAAGATGCTTCTGCTTTTTGCTGGGCTGTCCACAGTGTCGGCCGGCGAAGACGATGCCGGCAAGTGAAGCTCCCAGGCTGCCCAGGCCTGTCCCTCAGGCGACCCCTAGCGTCTTGCAGCCTCTTAGTCGGCCTCTCGAGCATGCAGACGCGGTGAAACAGCAGAAGGTTGAGAAGGGCAAGAAGTGCAAAGCACCCCGTGGTGGCAACATTGCCGCCAAACCTAAAGCCTCTCAAAGGAAGTCCATCAAGGAGGCCTCTCAAACGAAGTCCATCAACGAGGCACAGAGCTGCAGTGGCCAATCAGCAGAGATCCATAGTTGCACTAGTCACATGTGGTAGCACTTTTCCATGCACACTTGCAACTATGCATGTTTATTGTGCTGCTCATGGATAGATTCTAAGGTTGGGCGTGCATGGTTTCGTGCACGACATCGCCGGCCAACCGATCACAGAAAAAAAGCTTGTGGAAGTCTTTGCTGGCTCCTGCCGTCTCTCCCGTGCAGTTGCAGCCGTTGGCATTCCTGTGGAATCCTTCGAAAGGGAGCGTGGCCTCTCCGAGGCAGCACAATATCACAACACACCCAGCTCCCTGTAAGAAAGCCCCGCCAAAAGACCCAAATCGGCCAGAAATGAGAACAGGACGTACTCCACCTGGAGAACATGGAGATGCTGAAGTCGCGCATCCGGGACAAGCAGGTGCTTGCAGTATGGCTAAGTCCCGAGTGCCGGTCGTTTACAAAGGCACGGCGTGGCAAACGGACTGGCCTCTCCAAGAAAGGCTTTCCAGGTCCGGTCCGTGGTCATGGATGTGTCCTGGGCCTTCCAGGTCTCTCCATCAAAGACCAGCAGAAGGTCAGGTCGTGCCGCTAGACAACTAACACTTGTCTGAAATCCCCGGCAAATTGTCCCTTCCCTTTCAGGTGGATCACGGCAATAAGTCAGCCAACGCCTGCATCGAGTTCATCGAGGAGTGCATCTTGTCCAACACACCGGTCT